TTTTTTTTTTTTTGGATTGTTGATCACACCTTTATCTTGCTTAATATGTATCAGGATTCACAAAAATACCTATATCCTTCTGATGTATTGTTTTAGGATACGATCTCAGTAATCAGGCAGTGAATTTTCTATAGATTTGTAGGAAATCTAGGACAAGACACATATTGTTGGCATGCTGTATACTTCAGAATGCTTAGTTTATTAGTCAACAAAGGAGTCATATCTTTTTGTCGCTAATGTCCTCAAAACAATCCCAGCCAATCTTACTGCTAAAATTGTATTTTATTATTTTATTTTTATTTTTTACTTTGTAAGCAAAGACAATATATATCTTATATAGTATAAGGTTTTCTATCTCTGAACTAAAGACAAACTACATGTTATATCCAGTTCAGATATGCAGCCAGTAACTGAAATAGGAAAATCAATGTAGCTTTTCAATTTCCAGTGGAGCACACTGAACCAATACAAACTTTTTCTTGCCCAGAACATCATGATTAGTCATTGTTAAACTGCTAGGAAATGCTGTGTGACATTATTAGCTAGAGTCAGTATGTATGTAATCATGTTTTAAGGAATTAACTCACAGTATATCTAGCTACAAATAAAGCTAGTATACTGTCCTACAAATTTTTCTAAAAACTAATCTGTAGTTCTAAAAACTTAATGTCACTCTTATTTTCCCTTACCTTTTTTTTTTTTAAGGTACCTGAAATGCTGCACAATGATGCTAGTGACCACGGATGTAGCCGCTGGGGATATTTCTTTTTACAGAATGCTGGGATGCTTTTGGGTTTTGGAATTATGTTACTTATTTCCATATTTGAACATAAAATCGTGTTTCGTATAAATTTCTAGTTATGGTTTAAATGCTAGAGTAGCTTAAAAAGTTGTCATAGTTTGAATAGCTCATAGGGAGATGAGTTTGTATGCTGTACTATGCAGCATTTAAAGTTAGTGGGTTTTGTGATTTTTGTATTGAATATTGCCGTCTGTTACAAAGTCAATTAAAGGTACGTTTTAATATTTAAGTTATTCTATCTTGGAGATAAAATCTATATGTGCAATTCACTGGTATTACCATTTTATTATGTAAACAAGAGATTTGGCATGACGTGTTCTGTATATTTCAGGAAAAAATGTCTTTAATGCTTTTTCAAGAACTAACACAGTAATTCCTATACTGGATTTTAGGTCTCTGAGGAACTGCTGGTGTTTAGGAATAAGAGTATGCATGAAGCCTAAAATACCAAGAAAGCTTATACTGAATTTAAGCAAAGAAATAAGGGGGAAAAAAGAAGAATCTGAGAATTGTGGAGGCATAGATTCTTATAAAAATCACAAAATTTGTTGTAAATTAGAGGGGATAAATTTAGAATTAAGTATAAAAAGGCAGAATTAGTATGGAGTATATTCATTAAACATTTTTGTCAGGATTATTTCCCATAAAAACATAGTGAGCACTTTCCATATACTAATTTAGTTGTACATTTAACTTTGTATAATACAGAAATCTAAATATATTTAATGAATTCAAGCAACATATCACTTGACCAAGAAATTGGAATTTAAAAATGTTTGTGCGGGTATATACCAGATGAGTACAGTGAGTAGTTTTATGTATCACCAGACTGGGTTATTGCCAAGTTATATATCACCAAAAGCTGTCTGATTGGGTATTCTGGTTACCTGGTTTACAAAAGTATCAGAGTAGTAAAACTTTGATATATATGAGGATATTAAAACCATACTGAGTATCATTTGACTTCGATTCAGAAAGTACTTTGGTATCTCTCAGTGCTTCAGTGCTATCATTGTGAGCAATTGTCTTTTATATACAGTACTGTAGCCATACTAGGCCTGTCTGTGGGATTCTCTAGATGTTTCTTTTTTACACAATAAATTCCTTATATCAGCTTGATGTCAGACGTCTGGTTTTCTTTTCTTTTAAAAAAAATTTTTTTACCATCAGAACCATTTTTAACTGTAGAGTTCAGTAGTTTTAAGTATATTCATGTTGTGCAATGAATCTGCAGAACTTTTTCATCCTGCAACACTGAAACTCTATACCCACTCAACAGCAACTCCCCATTTTCCCTAAGCCCCTGGTAACCACCATTCTACTTTCTGTTCCTAAAAAATCGAGCTATCTGATTTTTTAAATTATAATTTGGATTGTAGTATACTGATCAATTCATTTATATTATCGTATTAAGTGGCCTTATTCAATTTTTAAATTGTTTATCACAAAGGGTACTTCAAAAAATATTGGTCCAGTTTGTTCTCGGGTGTCTTTTTTTTTTTTTTTTCCTAAACAACTGGGCCTAAAACTGTAGAAGAATCATTATTAATACTCTACAGTCTCAAGAGAGTCAATGTTTTAATTTAAGATCTTTACGATGGAGAGCTTGTGATGAGACTCAATGCCTGAGAGAGACTCCAGGTATTATTATTTATAGGTCCTGGGAAGTACCTGGCACATCTGGAGGCCACACACATGAAGGTCAGGAAATGCAGGCAGGGAAAGAGAGGGACCTGTGGGCCAGTGCCTTTATTGGGTCCAGGGCATTATTCAAACAAGTTTCCCATGAGGAGTTTCAATTAGGTTGAAAGCAAGCAGGCATCAGTTCCAGGGGACCACTCTGTGACTGAGAGGTGGTCACTGTGACATATCCACACAGCCCATGTGAGGGTCAACGAGGCCAGTCAGGCAAGCTGCATCTAGCTGTCCCATAGCAAAGTGGTTGACAGTGAGCAGCTGTATAAGGCAGCCATCTGGATGGACCACACTGGGGAACTGGGAGACATAGAACTGGAAACTGTCAAGGGTGACTGAGCTCTGCTTCTGTATGGGAAAGTCCAACTTATATTCACAATGACTGCCAAGGCCACATAAAATTATAAGCATTTGCTACAGTCAGTAACAAGAGGACAACACCACCCCTCCTTCATCTAGGGCTTACTGAGAGACCACGTCACCAGCATTTCTGTTTCTCAGACCAAGCGAAGGGGATGGGTATCAGAATTACCTGGTTGGGGATGCCTACATGGATGAAATTAAGCATCCCCTTTGGTTGAATAGATTACTCTGCTTCAGAAACTCACAGACCTACCACAGTGCCACTGCTAGATCAGTGCAAGGTGAGGAAGTTCTTGTAACAACTGAAAATGCACCTCTAGGAGTGTGGTGAGCACAGTTGTCCCTTCTTTCACAGGGATTCTGAAGGTAGAAGGTGTGCTGGACCAGCCCACAGAAACAGGATGAAATAGGAACTACGGTTCCCACTCCAGCTGGAACCTGTTAACGGGTATGTGGAAGATTCAAATAGTCCCCATCACTCTCTGTCAGAGGATGGAGATGAGAGGAAAATGCCAGAGCTGTAGAATATGGACCAAAGGCTGATTTTTGGGAGGGAACAAAACTTGTCAGACTGGCAAAAAAAAAAAGTCACAAATAGAAATATCTTCAATGAAAGGGGAGATATAAATAGAGTAGATTCGAGCAATTGTAAAAATCAGCCCACATATTTGAGAACTTTTTGATATGGATTAATTTTCTGGGAAAATACAAAATGTTCACTCAAGAAAAAAAATATGATCACCACATCAAAATTCTCCCCTTCTCCGCCCCAAACATAGGCCCAGTTTACAGTGTTTTACCAAAACTTCAAGACATAAATCCCTCATTTGTCCAAATAGTTTCCGGGATTTAAAAGAGAAAGCTCATGTTAATTGAGGTTTAACTTTGTAGTGTAACTTTGATACCAAAACCATGTTAGGAAAGGCAATTTGCCTTGGACCCTAAGAGTCCCTGCACTTTCGTGCTGGATATGTCAAGAATGCAAGGCCCTGATCACTCTTTGCCTTGGCCAGTTATCAGTGAGCAACCTTGAAGGATGAGGTTCTGGCTGGGCACGGTGGCTCACACCTGTAATGCCAACAATTTGGGAGGCCGAGGCGGATGGATCATGATGTCGGGAGATCGAGACCATCCTGGCCAACATGGTGAAATCATGGTCTCTACTAAAAATACAAAAATGAGCTAGGCGTGATGGTGCATGCCTGTAATCCCAGCTATTCAGGAGGCTGAGGCAGGAGAATCGCTTGAACCAGGGAGTCAGAGATTGCAGTGAGCTGAGATGGCGCCACTGCACTCCAGCCTGGTGACAGAGCAAGACTACGTCTCAAAAAAAAAACCAAAACAAGCCAAAAAAAAAAGAAAAAAAGAGGTTCTGAGGCAAAGGGCAGGTGTTGTATAATATAAAGGAAGTAGATTCCCCAAGCCCAGTGACCTTCAACTGCTAAATGCCACCTAAACTCACTGCATGTGCAGCCCCTCTCTGGAACTTTTCACTTTGCTCCTGTGGGATTCAGGGGTCAAGGGGAACTGATGTAAACTTTATTGCTGTGAGCCATAAAGTTCTTTTTCGGTGACCCAGGAGTGTCACATCTTCCAGCATCCATGAAACAGTAACAGGCTGACTTGTAATTGTAAGGTGGGTAAATTTCAGAGCTGGACAAAACCTCATAGGAAAAGCAGAAATTCATATAGATAAAAGAATCCTAGATAAAATAGCAAATCAAGCTCAACAGTATATAATATGATTAAGTAAGGTGATCCCAAGGAATACAAGGAATGGCTCAACATCAGAAAACCTAGTACCATCATATACCATGTTAACAGATTAAAGAGAAAAATCACAAATTTAATAAAATATTCAGGATTAAAGAAAAACATTTCAGCATACAAAAATAGAAGAAAATGTTTACAATTCGGAAAGTCTACTGAAAACTTGCCTTTTTCCTCAATACTCCCATCCTGTGAAGTCAAGGGTTTAAGAATGAGCAGCAGAGGGGGGTGAAAATGTGCAGAGAGGAAGGAACTACTGGTAGACCAGAAAGATAAACTATAATACAACTCATGGATGGAGCTTGACTTTCTCAGCTTGTCTGCTTACCTATAAAATACTATGAAAATTGAAGTAGCAAATTGCTGCAATTCCATAGCTATCATCGTAAGCACTGAGTCACTAATGGCTACAATTATTTTTTTTCCTTTTTAAAAAATTGCGGTGAAATGCAAATAACATAAAATGTACCATTTTAGCAATTTGTAGGTATACAGGTCAGTGACATTAAGTACATTCACGTTGTTGTACAATCATTACCATTCATCTCCAGAACTTTTTCATCATCCCAAATTGAAACTCTGTAGCCATTAAATAGTAATTCCCCATTCCTCCCTGACAGAAAGCAGGACAGTGGTCCCAACCCCTAGTAACCACTGTCTTACTTTCTTCTCCTCTACGTACTGGAGTATTCCAGATAGGTCAAGTAAGTGAGGTCGTACCATATTTCTCCTTTTTTGCCTGCCTTATTTATCTGTGCATAATGTCTTAAAGGTCTATCCATGTTATGACATGTGTCAGAATTTTTATTCCCTTTTGAGGCTGAAAATGAATGGTATTAGAGTTCTCCAGAGAGACAGAACCAATAGGAGATAGAAAGATAGGTAGATAGAGAGAGAGAGAGAGATTAGATAGATGATAGATAGATAGATAAGAGGGGATTATGGGATTATTAGGGAAATTGACTCATACAATTGTGGAGGCTGAGAAGTCCCACAACAGGCCGTCTGCAAGCTGGAGACCCTGGAATGCCAGGAGCATGGTTCAGTCCATGTCTGAAGGCTTCAAACCCAGGGTTGCCGAGAGTGTGACTCTCAGACCAAGACCAAAGACCTGAGAACCCAGAAAGCCACTGGTGTAAGTCCTGAAGCCCAAAGGCCAGGAAGCCTGGAGTTGTTGTACAAGGACAGAAGAGAAAGAATGTACCCCAGTTCCCACAGATACACCGACATATTCACCTTGTCTCTGTTTCTGTTCTCTCTGGGCCCCCAGCAGATTGCAATGTGCCTGCCCACATTGAGGGCAGATCTTCCCTACCTAGTCCACTCAAGACTCACATGCTCATCTCCTCTGGAAACACTCTCAAAGACACACCCCAAAATAATGGATTACCAGGTTTCTGAGTATTCCTTAGTCAAGTTGACACCTAAAATTAACCATCACACATTGTAAGTGTATGACACATCATGTTTTTTCATTCATTGATGGACACTTAAGTTGCTTCCACCTTTGGGCTATTGTGAATAATGCTGCTATAAACATATGTATACAAATACATGTTTGAGTCCCTGCTTTCAATTCCTTTGGGTATATACTCAGAAGAGGAACAGCTGGATCATATGGTAATTCTATGTTTAATTTTTTGAGGTATCATCATACAGTTTTCCACAATAGTTGTACCATTTTACATTCCCACTAGCAATGTTTATATTATTTTTGTTTCTTAGGGTTCTTTTTTCTTTTATGATAACCATCCTAATGGATGTGGTGTCTCATTGTGGTTTTGACTTGCATTTCTCTAGTGATGTTGAATATCTTTTCATGTGCTTTTTGGACATTTATATATCTTTGGAGAAATATCTATTTAAGTCCCATCAGGACCCTCTTCCAACACTGGGGGTTACAATTCGACATGAGATTTGGGGGGATACAAATTCAAACCATATCACGATATTTATGTAAGTCTGGTTTTTGTATCAGAGTAATCCTGATCACATAAAACGAGCAGAGAAGTATTTTTTCCTCTTCTATGTTCTGGAAGAGATTTTGTAGAATTCACCATTAAAACAATCTGGGCATGGAGTTTTCTTTAAAAGTTTTTATCCATGAATTCAATTTCTTTAATAGATATAGGAACATTCAGGATACATATGTGATATTGAATGAGTTTTAGTTAGCACTTTGTGTCCTTCAAGAAGTTGTTCCATTTTACCTCAGTTGCCAAATTTATAGCCATAGAGTTATTCATAGTCTTTGCCTATTTTCTTACCAGCAGTAGCTTCTGTGGGGATAT